AGCGGCAGATCGCCTGGCAGTGGAAAGAGACAAGGGTAAAGAGAGATGGGACAAGGATGTGAGAATCAGGAGAGAGAAGGTGAGTGTAGGAGATATGGTCCTTCTCTACGATGCAGCGCTGGAAAGAACCTGGACCGGAAAACTCGCCAACAAATGGATGGGACCTTACAGAGTGGTTGAGGCACTCGATTGGGGTGCATATATGATAGCAGAATTGGATGGATCTGAGTGGAAGGACCCAGTGGCGGGTGCTAGGTTAAAGCTGTTTAGACCCAGACCCGCGCCCGCCTTAACACKGACCAGCCCGAAAGGGAAAGGAAAAGCCATAATGGAGGATGGAGCCCCCTTGAGGCAAATCGAGGCAGGGGAGAGTTCCAAGAAGAGGAAAAGGGTGGAGAAAAGGAAGGTCAAAGGGTTAGCTCTAGGAAGAAAGAAGAAATGGTTATTTGTGCTTAAGAGAGCCAAACGAAGAGTTCGCATTAGACAGACTGGAGGGACAACACCCTTCTCGGGCAAAAGACAAAAGAAAAAGAGGGACGTGCCAAGGCCAAGAACCCGAAGAAAAATGGAAGTCGAGAAGCATCCGCTTAGCTCTAGAACTCGAAACGGACTGAAACATAAGACAATTAAACGCCAGCGTGGGCGACCTTTGCGGGCAATCACTCTGAAGCTCGTCCGCTTCGTTTGACGAAAGTAGACAGRCCTCGACGGGGGCGTCGAGAAGTGGTCCGGGCTAACTGTCAGGCGGCCACAAGTAGTGCGCCACCTGAAAACGACATTTTTGGGACTTAGGCTTGAGGGCAAGTCCGTGTCTTGAGGGTACTTTGGTTTGACCAGACAACAGAAATTAGAGGAACCCAGGATATCCCTGAATCTAGGTACACTGAACCTTACGATTAACCCTTAGAGATAGCAAGATAGGTGGGCGCACTCGGCGTGTCTAGAGGCCGCCATTTCCGGTCGTTCAGAGGGCTGGAGCCGCTTTGGCCTGCCGCGAGGAGGCATCGCGGGAGCAGATCTCGCCGCGACATTTTTGCGGCATACAACCAAGGCCGAAGTGAGGCCTCACATTTTGCCTATTTTAGTACCGTAATTAAAAAAAAAAAAAAAAAAAAAAAAACCAGGAGGGGAGCAGAGAAGAACATGATCCCCCTTATTTTCTTCATTTTCCACGACATTTAATCTTAGGGGGAATTCCCTTGTTATTTTATGTTTCCGGCAATGAAATTAAAAACATAAAAAAAAATTAAAAATCGTAAAAGAGAAAAGAAACAAAACGAAATCGGTCATTTACCCTCCATCAGCCCTGACCCCGGATTGATCATTTTTCCTGGATTCTAACGGTTCTCACTACTACCGATGGTTGAGGTTCCTTGCGTCGCTCTCCCTGGTTTGCCTGATTACTAACATTACCACAGTCGGGGTGTTCTGAGAGCTGGAGTCGCATGGACGGTATGGGGTGGTGCTTCCTTAGGGTCGACAGTAGGGCATTTGGCACGGCACGGATATGTGGAACAGACCTACGGTGTCCGACATGCTTCAGGTTTGGTATGGGCTCGGCGTCACTCTGTTTCAGGTCAAGGGGGCCACTACGATGACTTAGTTTCGGGTTTACGACTACGGCGGGGGCTCATTTTTGGTTCAGGGCACATCGGCATGACTTGATATCAGGTCCGGAACAACTACGGCGGGTTATTTCAGGTTTGGGGACTCTAGGGTGATTTATTGGCAGGTTCGGATCACTGTGGGAGTCTGATACTGGTACGGTATCGGAGTGGTACACGCCGCCTCATTGTTCGCGGGATCGGGATTGATCTGGCATGGGCATGGCTCTGATGGCTGGAACTTACCTCCAGGATTCGGAGCAGGTTCGGTACTACCACGGGACTGCGGCATTGTACGATATTCGGCATGTTCCAGGTTCAGTAATGACACGACGTCGGTATGGTACATGCCRCTGCAGTTAGAGACGTCGTCGCGTGTTCGATTTGATTCTAATTTGGTACGGTATAATTCGAGCTACTGCAGCTCGGGACAGACGTTTCAGATTCGGTATTGGTTCGGCAATTGGTGCGATTCAGGTCATCGCAGTTCGGGACAGGGGTTTCAGGTTCGCGACAAGCACGGTACTTGGCAGCCCGACATCGCCATTTCTTGATACGGTGTCCCAGTCCAGTTCGGGCTGCTGCAGTACGCTACATTGTCACCGGGGCAACCCTGGATTGAGTTGCTGGCCCACTACACCTCTGTTTTGGTATGGTTGCAGGATCAGTCGCAGGCTCGGCACTGGTATGATGACCCAAGGTCGACATGACTACATTCTTGGTTGGTACGGTACAATGATTTGTCTGGTGTTGGCTTGGTACATCCTCGGCATGACATTGTATAATTGTTTGGCATGGCTACCAGAGCGGAACAGGTAYGGTAAGCTGGTTCGGCACAGGAACTGGACTGGCAAGGTATTGCTCCGTTGCATGGTATTCGGGATTCAGGCTGCTACTGTTGGGAACGATCACTTCAGAGCTGATAACCAGTTTGGCTTTGGTACGACACGACTAGCTTGACATGTGTACCCCACTGCC